CGAATTGAACCAATTGTCTGCTCCACTACATTTGCTGCTTCAGAATAAGCTGCTTGTCCTCGGGTTGCCATCTTTGCATAAGCTAAACTCATTATGGAACCAGAGAGGACAAGAAGAGGAACAGAAGATAGAAGGACAAGGCTCAGAAGCCAACCCTTGGTGAAGGCTATGACTATGCCTCCTAAAAAACTTGACAAATTCTGTACGAACTTTCCTAACTGAGATAACACCCAAAAAGAGAATGAAAAAGTTAACTCTAATAGTAGTTTGATGAAATTATATTGATTGGGATTTGGAGAATGGTCCATTAATACCTTCTCTCCCATGGCTTCTTGAATAAGAACTGTGTCCCCTGACATCCTTCCAACAACCTCTCCATTTGTGGTTTCCTTGTCAAAGAAGCTGATATCTTGTCTCAAAATTGCTTTGAGGTACAAGCCTCTTATTCTTGCAGCTTGTCTCTCCCCAGTGATCACCCAGCAAGACACCTCTGGAAGATTGCACAGCATGTGTCACTGAACAACTCTTGTTATTTTTAAATTAAGCAAAATTATATTTCTAGTTATTCAGTAAGCTTAATAAGCTAAGAATTTGGCATGCTTACGCAAGAATGCTGCTAAAAAGGCCGCTGCACCTAAGGATGCAAGCTTCAGAGACACCTGAGGATGAAACAAAGTTTGAAAGGTTATGACATATTCAAATTGTTCCTCTCAAACTTAATTCTTGCAAAATCAGGTGCCCACAGTCTATGCACTTATTCGCTCACTACAAAATGCGAGAACAATTTAAAGTAGAATACTGTACATCTCATTTTCCAGGTCTCATTTTTAAATAGTTTGTCTCTGTACTTTCTTTTTCTTGTAAAGTTGGTTATGTTTTTGTTAAAAAAGCGCTAGTTGTAGGCTAATAAGAAGCTTACTTTTCATTTCTGTGTTTGCTAATATCAGTATTTTGCTCCTTTCTCATTTGCATGTGTATGCTTTGCTGTGTTCAGTCCTACAACTTTTTTTTTTGTTTTTTCTAACAAGTTTCCAGTCCTACAACTTTTTTCTATTGTTTATTAACAAGTTTCCAAATCATTCCATCTCACGCTATTTTCATAGTTTCTTTTCTACAGATACTTCACACCTTTGATTATCAATGAAGAGGAGCTAGGCATTACCTTGGAAACTTCATGAACTACATGTTTATTATCAACATGTCTTCCCAAGGCATCAATCGCATCTCCAACAAATATAGTCAGTAAAGGATTACAGATTCCATTACCAACAGCACTTATTGCCCCAACAAGCATCAGAAGACAGTCCCGAGAGTCTGCAAATGAGAAAAGTTTGTGAAAGGGTACAGTTTTGTTGATTTCATGCTTCACCTTGTTTTTCTTGGAGTCCTGCTTCCTGCCAACGGTATTTTCTTGTGTATTTTTAGGCCCTTGAACTAGTGGATGATCACTTGTTGTATTCATCTCAGTTGAAGTCATGTTTGCATCCATCCAAGGGAGAAACCTCTCTTGGTTCACAACTTACAAACACCATGAAAAACAGCTGCTGAAGGAGGGTCACTGGTTTGAGTCACCACCACTCGACCAATAAATATGGTCTTGCACAAGCTTGTTGTGCACTTCAGTGGGATTTTTTATATATTTTCATTAGTAACATTGTAGCCCCTTTTCTTTGTGTTTCATCAACACTACATAATCTCAATGCAAATTTTGATCTTGGAACAAAATCCATAAGTATGGTGCGTGCACAAACATTGAGTTGAAAGCTCATATTGTATGTATTTGCTGTGATTATGATACACTTTTTTGGGTGCAGGACTTCACCTACCCTGTACAGGAAGAAATCCTTTCCTAATATAGAGGTCTACTTTACTAAAAAACTTTATTTATTTTATATATGCATTTTATATAATTTTTTTCTTAATGTTTAATTTTTACGTCTCATAATAAAATATAATTATTCTTTTTTTTTACCATAAATTATTTTTTATTTCCACTCATAATATGTGTAATTTAATTTTTAATATAGACTTACAAATATTACTTTGTATCGTGAGTAGTTTTTTTTAATAGGTTTAAATAAGTTTCACCTTTAATTTAGACCTACACGTATCTTAACCAATTTCTTATTATTTATACTTATTAGCTTTATTGATTATTATGATGAGGATCAAAAGATAAATCTAAAAATATTTTAGAGACCGCATAAAAAAGTCAACATAATAATAATAATAATGAAATCTCATTAAAATTTATTTAGAAAATTTAACTAAAATTTTATTATTTATGAACTATATATTGTAATAGAAAATGTATTGGCTCAAAACAAAAGATAAGTCATATATTAACCACCTAAAACTTGAATAAGTTATATATATATATATATATATATATATATATATATATATATATATATATATATATATATATATATATATATATATATATATATATATATATTACAAAATCAAATCATTTTGAAAGATTTAATTTATAACTTAAGCAATATTTATGTATAATTTGTCATTCTCATTATTAATGTTGCTCAACTTTTTTAATTTACATATCATCATTTAAATTGCATAATTCTACATATAATTATGTCAACACATAACAAAATGATCACTAAGTACATAAATAAATGTTATTACAATTTATTGTTCATATAATATATGAAAACGAATAAAATAAAGTTATTTACTTTAGTTATTGAAAAAAATTAAAACAAACAATATTATTATTATTATTATTATTATTATTATTATTATGCATAAAACAAACAGGAATCATTAACATGTCCAAAAAAAATTAAAAAGTGTAAAATGAAGATATATGCAATTAGCATCTTTATTTGAAAAAAGTAAAATAAAATTAGTGAAGAATAATAAGTAAGATTGAGGGGTGAATGATGAGAAGGGATTGGGGTGCTTACCCCACTAAGCCCTTTAATGCTACAAAACTCAATTGGTTTCCTAATAATTACAAGCACAATCTTAGTGGGATCCTTAACACACAACCAAAAGAGTTATTGCCATGTTTCAACCATGTCTTTGTAGTATTGTACATGAGTGGTTGAAATGTGTGTTATGTAATAATGAAAAGATTCACTAGTCCATTAGTGGATTATTAAGGTTTGTACACTAGTACAGAAATCACTTTTAACATCACATCGGGCTTTCCACATCGGTTCTTTAAGAACCGATGTAGAAAGTGAATTCAAGACTTTCAACATCGGTTCCCAGATGAACCGATGTAGAAAGTCTTTTTATAAAATTAAGAGAATTATTACTGGTAGGATTCGAACCCAATACCTTGAAGTCGAAGACTACTCCAACCACTAAGCTACCAAGATTTTCTGATAATAACTTATACATAAATTATATTTATATACAAATAAAAATGTATATCCATGTAAATATATAAATATAAAATATATAAATACAAATACAAATATATTTATATGTTGGATGTGAGAGCGCGCTCGAGAGTAAAAGTGTGTGTCAAGTGAGTTTTCAAAATTTGATGTCAAATTTGTGAGCAAGTTTCTTTATATGAATTTGTAATTTAATGATAGAATATAATCTTTATAATTTATTTATAATAATATAGAATATAATCTTTATAATTAATTTATATAATGATATAAAATAAAGAAAAAAAATTATTTTATATCATTATATAAATAAATTATAAAGATTATATTTTGTCATTAAGTTATAATCCATATAAAGAGACCCGCTCACAAATTTGACATCAAATTTTAAAAATTCACTCGACACACACTTTCATCCTCGAGCGCGTCCTCACATCCAACATATAAATATATAAATATATTTGTATTTGTATTTATATATTTTATATTTATATATTTACATGGATATACATTTTTATTTGTATATAAATATAATTTATGTATAAGTTATTATCAGAAAATCTTGGTAGCTTAGTGGTTGGAGTATCAGCTTCGACTCTAAGGTACTGGGTTCGAATCTTGCCAGTGACAATTCTCTTAATCTGATAATAATTCAAATTCCTAAAAAATATAAATAATAAAAATATAATATAAAAGGGAGAGGATAGCTCTTAATCTGATAATAATTCAAATTCCTAAAAAATATAAATAATAAAAATATAATATAAAAGGGAGAGGATAGTCTAGGAAACTCTAGATCAATATATAGGGTAATTAGAGATGTGTTATGAATAAATAAAATAAAAAAAATATTAGACTTTCTACATCTGGTTCCTTACAACCGATGTGGAAAGTCACACTTTCTACATCGGTTCTAGAACCGATGTTAAAAGCCTATTTTGTACTAGTGGTAAGAAAAAATATTCATTATTTTTATTAGAGTATTCTTTATGTACAGGACTCAATTCTTCCTAACTTATCTTAGTCAGTTGAATTTTGGAGAGATTTTATATTTTAAATATAATGAAGACATAATGATAAACTATCATTTATCCTGCTTTAAATAAGATAAATGTAGATGAAATACAAAATGATTTCGTAACAAATACCAAAATAATTCTATTTTTTCCCAATACTCCTCTTTTTTCATATTACAGTTTTGTTTTAATTTTTTATGGTTAAAACCATCTTTATTTAACACACATATTAGAATCTCACTTTGTTTACTTTAATTATCAGTGTGATTTATATATTCATTAGATAATTTCGTTAAGTACGAGTTGATTTTAAGATAAAATCTCGCAGCATTTTATATGTTAGCTTCTAATCTCAACGTATAAGTTCTAATTGTTTTGTGTTGTTTTATAGTTGCAATTTCATTTCAGCATACTGCTTACCGTGTCATGGATTTAAATGCTTCTGGGTGCTCGCTCCACATTTCAAACTACACCATTAAAGAAAAGATGTGTGACAGTGAAGTCCATTCAAAACGGGTAATCGGGCGTTCAGAATGTTTCATTACACGGGAATAATGCTTTAACGAAAAGGTTAAGAAGGTAACAGATAATTGGTGCTATGAACCAAAAGGGTCTATGATGAAGACGCACTGATATGCAGTGCTACTAAGGAAGCATATATACCACCTTTGTTAAGCAAAGTTTCGTGCTTTCCTTCCTCTTCAATGACTCCATTCTTAAGCACTGCAATTAAATCTGCATCCTTTATGGTGGATAACCTGTGAGCCACCACAATAGTAGTTCTGTCCACACTCACTCGATCAACTGCATCCTGGACCACTCTTTCAGACTCAGCATCAAGTGCACTGGTGGCTTCATCTAGCAGTAATACTTTTGGACTTTTCACTATGGCTCTCGCAATTGCCACACGCTGTTTCTGCCCTCCAGATAGTTGAATCCCTCTCTCCCCCACTAATGTATCATATCCCTGTATATGTATAGATATGATGCTAGTGATTCAAAATTGTACAGTATAAATTTTTATTGAATATTGTGTTGGTTACCTGCTGCAAACTGCTGATGAACTTATGCGCATTTGCCAGTTCTGCTGCAGCTATAATTTCAGCCTCTGTTGCATCACCACCTTTTCCATATGCAATATTGGCTCGAATGGTGTCATTGAACAACACAGGCTCCTGGCTCACCAGACCCATCTGCTGCCTAAACCATTTAAGTTGTAGCTTTTTGATTTCTGTTCCATCCAGTGTAATCTGACCCGAATCTGGTTCATAAAATCTTTCTAACAATGAGATCACTGTTGACTTTCCACTTCCACTTTCACCTACTAGAGCAACTGTCTGATTTCCATCAGTATAATCAAACTCTTAGATTCTTCATTGGGAAAGGTTGTCTAAAAGAATAACGTGTTCTTATGATGGTAATTAAGCATGAAACAAACAGATTATTTTGCTGGTTACCTCTCCTGCATTAATGGTCAGGGAAAGATCTTTGAGTACAATAACATTAGGCCTGGTTGGATACTTAAAAGTGACATGGTGGTACTCAATCTTCCCCTTCACTTCTTCCAATGTCAATCCGGACTCATCACTGGGATCTATTTTTGATTTCTGATCAAGAAGAGCAAATACAGAAGCAACAGAACTTTTTGCTTTACTAGCAGCTGGGGTCATGAAGCTTGATTGTGACATTGCTATAGCTGCCATTATGAGAGCATAAAATACCTGAAAAGTTGGAGATTGTTTTTTCAATGCTATAAGAAGGTGATGATGAGCTTAGCTTTTAAATTGTCTATTTGTTTATTTTAAGTAAAAACTTGTGAATTTTGTTTGATATTTGAGCTTGCAGCAACAATTGGGATAAGTAAAAAGCTTCAAAACAGAGATACAACAAAGATAGGAGCATAGGACAATATCTTACACGGAAAACATCTGAGAATGATGCTTTGCCATTCTCAACTAGTCTTGCCCCAGCATAAAAACTGCATGCGTAAACTGAAAACAGTAAGAAGAGTGATAAACCGAAACCTGTTCCGCTGACTAAACCTTGCTTTATACTTGTCTGGATTGGTCCTACACATTTTTTCTGGTATAACTCCATCACCTTCTCTTCAGCACAGAAAGCGGCAACAGTTCTGATATTCCCCACTGCATCACTCGCTACTTGACTTGCTTCCTCATATAGTTTCTGTAGAACATAAACAGCACAATAATATTCGTCAAACCGATACAAATCAATAGTATTAATTTAATATGGAAACAAAAAATTTACAAATTAAATGTAGGTAAGATTTATGGAGAGCTGTGATCACTATACTAATTATATGTAACATACATAAACCTATCGCTTCCATTTGATTTTCCTTTGGATATATCCTAAATCAAATACACACGTAAGCATGTAATATTTACATCTGAAGTTTCCCATCCCCCTTTTCATACTGACACAATCTGCAATTTAGATATTTTGATGAAGTTCCGTGGTAAGTAGTCACTAATTGATATCAGTAAGTCACAAACCTTTGCATCAGTGTGGAGTCCTTGCATTGCATTAATTTGCACATAACCATTTAGTAATACTAGAGGTGCTAAAACTAGAACAATGAGAGAAAGCTGCCAGTTTGCCTCAAAGGCAATTGCTAAGGCTGTAATTGTTGTTGCAATATCCTGAACCAGCAAACCAAGAGCATCCCCAGCCAATGTTCGAATAGAAGCTACATCAGTTGACAGCCTTGCTCCAAGTGTTCCACTTGAATTTTCATCTTTATCAAACCAGCCTATTTCCATGTGAATTATTTTGTCAAAACACATCAGCCGGATCCTTTTTATCAACTTAGCACCAGCTACAGCAAAAAAGTAGGACCGTAATGGAAGAAATATGAAGGCAGCCACACTAAGGTAAAGAAATATTAATGCCCAAAACTTTGAATCTTTACGGAGTTCATCTGCAGGCTCAAAGAATGTATTTATCATGTGAGAAAGAAGAAGCCCCACGGTGGGTAGTATTGCGCCAGTTGCTGTTGCAGCTAGAGTCCCCATGAGTAACACTGGGATTTCAGGTTTGTTAAGATAAGCAATGCTGAGAAATGAAACTTCTTGAGGCTTTTGCAATGCTTCTGAAGGAATAACTTCAGAACTTTCTTCTGATGCTTGAAAGTGATCTAATGTGATAGGCCTGGCATTACATGTTTTGAATGAGTGATGACTGTTGTTTTCTCTTCCAGATGATGGATTGCTTAAAGATGGAGTGAAAGAAAAACGTTGGCTCAATTGTTGTTCAGAATCTATGATGTTTTCTTCCCAGCCTGAATCGTTTTCATCATCTTCTTTTGACCCCCTTTTAATCTCTTGTAATCTAATGAGCTGGCTAAAAGCTCCGTCAGGATATTTAGCAAGTTCAGCATATGTGCCTAATCAGTTAAAAGGTATATAAGAAAACAGCAATATACATGTCAAGAAAATTGCAGACGTGTGTGTGAGGAGAGAATGTCTTGAAAGCAGATGGTTATACATATTTCAATTCTGTGCCAACAGAGTATATCAAAATGTATACCTTTTTCTTGTAGTTTTCCTTGATGAATAACTGCAATCATATCAGCATTCCTGATTGTGCTTAAGCGATGGGCTACAATGACAGTGGTTCGGTTTATCATAATTCTGTCCAATGTCTCTTGCACCACTCTCTCTGACTCTGCATCAAGAGCACTCGTAGCTTCATCAAGGAGAAGAATTCTTGGGTCCTTCAAAATTGCTCTTGCTATCGATATTCTTTGTTTCTGACCTCCCGAAAGCTGAGTTCCACGCTCGCCGACCATCGTATCAAGTCCCTAAACACAAAATTATACAAAAATAATGAGATAAAATGTCTCTTACTGAGTAAAGAAAAATTCAACAGATTAAAGATGAATCGTGAGGTCACATGGGGAAATTTATCTATGAAATTAGCAGCATTTGCAAGTTCAGCTGCAGCTCTAATTTCTTCATCTGTTGCCCCATCCTTACCATACGCAATATTCTCTTTAATGCTGCAAGTAAAGAGAGCTGGTTCCTGGCTAACTAGGCCAATTTTCTGTCTGATCCATTTCAATTGAAATTCTCTGAGGTTTATACCGTCAATAAGAACTTCACCAGCTTGTGGATCATAAAATCTCTCAATTAAACTAATAACAGTTGATTTCCCACTCCCACTTTGCCCTACCAAAGCTGCAGTAGTGCCACTTGATATTGAAATTGAAAATCCATTGAATATCTGTTCATCAGGTCTGGATGGATAACTAAAGCAGACATCCCTGAGTTCTATATCTCCAGAAATGTCATCTACCTGTCGACTACCAGTGTCATAAGCATCAATATCCGGCTGCCTCTCTATTGTTTCAAACATTTTAAAGGCAGCGGCTTGTCCTGCAGCAAATGCAGTTATGCTTGGAGATGTCTGCCCCAGACGCCTGCAAAGTAAAATTAGCCCAGAAAAATGTATCATATTTATTTGCCTCCGAGCTCGGAATAAAGGTTAAAAGATATGGATTGATGCATTTGCAATATAGATGGTAATGTAAAAGCTAACTTACATTGAACCAGACATTATTAACAAAAATACACTGATGACTTGTCCTCCAGTGTAACCTTTCTCTAGTACCATCTTCCCTCCAAACCATATTGCCAAACCATAGGTGCAGGTCGAAAATAAATTCATTGAACCCAAGCCAAAACCACCAACCAAACCCTCTTGCACTCCAATTCTGTAAGCTTTAGTTAAGTATTTATTGTATTGAGTTATAGCTTGTTTCTCACCTGTAAATGATGCAACCTGCGTGGGAGGAATGCATATATTTTATGTCTAGTCTCTTGCAATATGGATATAATAAAAACAACGGAAAAGTATTTTCTGAATTTTGGCATACAGTTTGAATTGAACCAATTGTCTGCTCCACTACCGTTGCTGCTTCAGAATAAGCTGTTTGTCCTCGAGATGCCATGTTTACAAAAGCAAAGCTCATTGCAGAACCGGAGAAGACAAGAAGAGGAATAGAAGATGACAGGACAAGGCTTAGAAGCCAACCCTTGGTGAAGGCTATGACCATGCCTCCTAAAAAACTTGACACATGCTGTATGAATTTTCCTACCTGAGATATCACCCAAAAAGAGAACTAAAATTTCATCTCTAATCATAGTTTGATGAAATTTTGATGATTTGGAATTTGGAGAGTGGTCTGGTAATACCTTCTCTCCCATGGCTTCTTGTATAAGAACTGTGTCACCTGACATCGTTCCAACAACTTCTCCACTTGTGGTTTCCTTGTCAAAGAAGCTGATATCTTGCCTCAAAATTGCTTTGAGGTATAACCCTCTTATTCTTGCAGCTTGTCTCTCCCCACTGATCACCCAGCAAGACACCTCTGGAAGATTGCACGCATGTGTCACTGAGTAACTCTTGTTATTTTTAAATTAAGCAAAATTATATTTCTAGTTATATAGTAAGATTAATCAGCCGAGAATTTTCCATGCTTACGCAAGAATGCTGCCAGAAAGGAACCTGCTCCGATGTATGCGAACTTCAGAGATAGCTGAGGATGAAATGAATCTTGAAGGGTTAAAACTTGGAAAAAAGGATAATTTCGGTGTATACAGAAATGTGAGACACTTTAAAGTAGAATAGCCTACATCTCATTTTCATAAGATTACTACTGTATATATGGAAAAAAAATTAATAAACTCTGCTACATGTCACATGTAAATTGACCTACACCATGGTCTAGTTATAGCTCCTCCGGTGTTTATGTTTTGTTAGAAATTGAGATTTCCCATTTGTCATGTTAAATATGTTATGTCTTTGTAATTTGTTTTTGCTTGTAAAGTTGGTTCTGTTCTTTTTTAGAAAAAGTTAGTTCCAGGCTAATAAAGCTTTCTATTTTAACTTTGTCATTGTTGCTTTTTGTCCTGTCCAATAAGGAGCTTTCATAACTTTTATAAGCATCTTGCTGAAACAATAACTGAGTGTCCAAAACTGAAATTTATCATGTAAGTATTTTGTTCTTTTCTCCTTTTGGTTTGTATGCTTTCTCTGCTCAGTCCTACATCTCTTTTCTGTTAATTTTTTATTATAACAAGCTTCCAAATCATTCCATCACACTCTCTTTTCATATTTTCTTTACAATAATAGATATATCACAACAACGATTATTAATGAAGAGGAGTTTGGCATTACCTTGGAAACTTGATGAACTACTTGTTTGTTATCAACATCTCCGAAAACATCAATAGTATCTCCAACAAGTACAGTCAATAAAGGTGTAGAGATTCCATTAGCAACAGCACTTATTGCCCCAACAAGCATCAGAAAATAATCCCAAGGATGTGCAAATGAGAAAAGCTTGTGAAAGGGAACAGTTTTATTGTTTTCATCCTTCACCTTCTTTTTCTTGGAATCCTGCTGCCTGCCAACCATTTCTTGTTGGGTGTTTTCAGTATCTTGAACTGGTGGATGATCCCTTGTTGATCCTCTCATCTCAGTTGAAGTCATATCTGCACCCTCTTGGTTCACAACTTACTAACACCAGTAAAAAAACAGCTGATGAAGAAGCATCACTGGTTTGAGTCAGCAACTCTCACAGTTTTTCCAGCAAAAGTCAATACTCAATCTCAAAGGCAATATAACCTCTACCCAAGATTATCTTCTCAATTTTATGATGTGTTTATGTTTATGTATCTATTAAACCACGTAGCTTAATACTAATTGTTTCTGAGATAAATTTCGAGATGTGAGTGCTATCATTCATGTACATATGACCAAGATTTTCATATTACAAGTGATGAAAAATAATAAATGCATTATTGGTTCATCAACTCAAAATTTTAATCCATAATTTAACCTCCTTCTGTTTTTTCTCTTCGTCCTTTACTTTCCAAATACCATTTTTTAATAATAAAATATCTGTTTCCTTGTCACTAGTGAACTACCTTCACATGCATATATGTACAATTATTGTCAGGAGAGAATATTAATATTTGTTTCGAAAATATAGTATTATTTTATGTGTGGGACAACTATACCTAGTAGGGTGCTAAAAAAAATTCAACCCAACCACCTGACAATTGAATTAAATAGAAATAAATAAATAAAAGTTTGTATAAACTAAAAACCCAATAGAAAAACAATTTGAATAATAAAACTACTTGTATTTAAAATATAAATGTTTATTTTTATTATTTGAGATCTCATGAATTTCTTATAATTTTCACTAAAAAAATATTATCTACCAAAATATTACCTAGGGATAAAAATCCATAGGTAAAATGTATATTACATACAAATATTACATACGGAATTTTATCCATATATAAATTATCTATTACCTACGAAATTATTGTCCGTAGATAATGTCATTCGTAAGTAATTATTTATTACCTACAAAATTATTGTCGGTAGGTAATGTTATTCGTGAATATTATTCATTACTTACAGAATTACTATCCGTAGATAATGTTGTCCTTCATTACCTACGAAATTACTATCCGTAGGTAATATCATCCATGGATAATTATCCATTATTTACGAATTATTGTCCGTAGATAAATTACATATGAATTACAATCCGTAGGTAAATTATATCAAATAGATAAATATATGAATATGTAAATATATAAATATGTAAATATATAAATATGTAAATATGTAAATGTATAAATATGTAAATATATAAATATATCAAAAAATAAATATATTTGTATTTATATATTTACACAGATAAATATAAATATAATTTATTTATAAATTATTATCGGAATATCTAATAGCTTAGTGGTTGGAGTATACTAAATTCGGTTCTTGTCAATAATAATTTTATTAATCTAGTAATAATTAGGGTTTGGTCATCCAACTAAGAAAAGAAGCATGTGAGAGAATAGGAGTGTTGAAAAAAAATATAAGAATTGAAAATATTTAATTCAAATTTCATATTAAAACTCAATAATTAAGTCAAATAATTTATTATATTTATATTTCAATATAATTTTATATTTTTAAAATAATAATTAACTATGTGAATTTTAGATTTTATTTATAATATATTTATATTTATCAAAACATAATAATAAAATCATATTATATTTTTTAATTATAATATTATTTAACTTATTCTTAAGTATGAGAGAAAGATAATTGTAAATAATTATAAAAATGATACGTATATCTCTTTATTATACATACATTAAGAGATTTATATTAAAGTCTTTTATGATAAATAAATTATAAAATATTTAATAATTCTATAATAATAAAAAATTATAGTATATCTTTTTATTATAGATAAATTATAATAAAAAAATCAATACAAACTAATTTGAAAAACATTTGTTTAATTTAATTTTATGTTATATTAAACTGAATTAAATTTATTTTTTATGTTTAATTGATATAATTATTTAAAAAAAAATTAAAACAAACTGTCACAGGTATTCTCGCTGCTGCCGTGGGAACCAAAATCATGGTAGTGTTTGACGATCTAGAATGGACATTTCAAATTTTTTTTTTTATCTATATATAATTTGTACAATTATTCTTATTTAACTATTGAACTTTGAATTAATATCTTAATTCTTATTCTGAAAACCTTGTTTTAGCTTGAAGAGAGGTGTAGAAAAATTAATTCTTGAAATTTGAAATTTTGTAATAAATTTAAATGAATTTAGGTTAATTTATAATTTTATATAATAATAACAATAATCATTTTTTAATAAACATAACATTATTTTATATATTTTAAATTTTAAAATGCTTTTTATTTTAAATTTATTTTTAATTTTAAACGAATCATCTAAAATTAAATAAAACTAAAAAATATGACCTAATTAAGAACCATAGTTTTTTTAAAGTGATTTGACTAACTCTATTTAAAATATTTCTATGCGATGATTAAATAATGATAAATGTTTATATTTAATATTTACAAGAATTTGAAAGATATTAATTATTAAAGTTGAAGACTCATAATTATAATCATTAAAATATATTTATTAGATCTTATTTACTTATTATTTTGATATAAAATTATTACTGGAAAGTTATATTTTAAATTCTCTATACAATATCAAACTAGAATTAGATAACTTACGTAGATATTCTTGTAGAGATGTATTTTGGTTAATTTATCAGATGAGTTTTGATTCATGATGATAATATCATAATATTAAAATTTAATAAGATGGTTATTACATTTCCATTTAATAGTTACATATTAGAGATATTTTTTAATAGGAAAATATATAAAATAGTTAGATAATTTATTTACTTGTATAAGAGAAAACTCATAGAAGACAAAAACAAGTAGAGAGATATTTTGCTTGGTCTGAGCCAACATTAATAGTAGGCAACATTGAATAACCAAAATAATCTTTTAAATTTTTTACTTATTTTCTAAGAAAAATATTTTAAAATTTTAAAACTATATATTTCAAAAATATTTTAATTTTTTCAAATACATAATCTATAACTATTTCATAATATTAATTCTGAAATAAATAAAATTAGAACAGTTTAAAAAATTTTCAGAATATTCTGGCCATATAAAAATAAAAACTTTCTAAAAAGATTCACTGTCTCCTGAAGCAACGCGGGTCATGGTTTGGGCTTGTTCAAAGGTCTTGTTGGGGTGAGATTGCAAACATCTGAGGATTCTTTGATGGTGGAGTTCACCTTCATGCAATCTTCTGGGCCCTTGCGTTGTTGGTCATCGCACCCATTGATTGATTGATCGAACTGGAAAGGCAGTCAGTGAAGCATGTTCAACGCGTGAATTTGGGGATAGGGTTTCTTGTGTAGAAAATTTAATACCAACGCTCTTTTTATTTATTTATTTTTCCTTAGTTGAAAGTTATTGTTCATGGCCACAGCTACAAAGAGTTCGGAGGAGGAAAACATGTGGTTCGTTGATAGTGGTTGCACTCAATACATGACAAGCAAACTATAGCTTTTTTCGTAACTGGAAACTGTAGGAGGATCAGTGAAGATTGGACATGGAGACAAACTTGCCATCACGGGTAAAGGAACTCTGCAAATTCATACTGCAAAAGGTACTAAACATTGTTTATGTTCTTTTAATGCCTAAACTTGATCAAAACTTATTAAGTGCGGTTCAAATGATGCAAAATGGTTATTGGTTGTTGTTTAAAGAAGAAAGTTCTGTAGTTAGTGATGTTGATGGTCATGATTTACTTGAAGTAGAGATTATAAAAAGAATTTTCCTGTTAATTGGAATTTAATTTCTGATCATGAGTGCAAAGTCAGCAATATTGACTTGATTATAAGCTATGACACGAGGGGTCACTGTAACATGAGATCCATTCAATTTGCTCAAACTCATGAATTAGTCAACGACTTGATAAATATTCAATTTTATTTTTTTCAAAAGTTTGTAAAGGTTGTCAACTTGGTAAGCAACATAGATTGTCTTTTCCAAATTCAGTCACCTGGAGAGCAAGTGAAAAACTTGAATTAGTTCAATCGGATTTTTTATGACCTACCACAAGTATTTTATTCTCTTTGCAGATGATTTTACAATATTGACTTGGGTTTACTTTCTTAACCAGAAATCTGAAGTTTTTTTTTTTTATTATTAAATTTAAAGCCATAGCTGAAACTCAAATGAACCGTGTTTTAAAGAAACTCTGAGCCAACAATGGAAAGGAGTATAATTCTTCTGAATTTAATTCATTTTGTGATGACTTGGGTGTTAAGCACCAACTTATAGTGAGTTATTCACCCCAGCAAAATGGATTTGCAGAAAGAAAAAATAAATAAATTCTTGAGAAGGCTAGATGCATGATTTTTGAGAAGAAATCCCCAAAGTCTTTTAGGCAGAAGTTGTAAACACAGTTGTTTACCTCCAAAACAGACTTCCTACAAGGGCACTTGATGTGAAGACTCCTATTGAGGCTTGGGGTGGCATTAAACTATTCATTAGACATCTAAAAGTGTTTGGTTCACCTTGCTACACTGATGTACTAGATGTGAAAAGAAGCAAATTGGAATGGAAGGCTGTAAAAAGAATTTTCATAGGCTATAGGTCTAATCTAAGGGCTATAAAGTCTACTAAATTGATTCAGGGAAAGTTTTTAGTAGTCAATATGTAAACGTGAAATGGAGATGAATTGGGGGAATTCTCAATTGAAAAGGCATTCGGTTTTGCTTTCTTTTGAGAGTACAAATGAAGATCATGAAGAAGAAATTGATGATGATTTTTCTGAGATAGGTACTAGGCCTCTTTTAGAGATTTGTTAAAGGTGTGATTTTGCTGTACATGAACCTGCCAGCTTTGAAGAAGCTAGGAAGGTTGAAGAATGGAACCAAGCTATGCAGGAAGGGATGACCACCATTGAAGAAAACAAGACATAGCAGCTGGCTGACAAACCAAAAGGCAAAGCTTGAAAGTGGCATCAGACCCCGTTTTCACATATAGAGACATAAATTTCCAAAAAGGCCATCACAATTAAAACAGTATGTCGAGATATATCAATTGCAAATAAGAGAATTAAAGTAGAATTTCCTTGGCAAAGTATTTCACAAGTTTTGGCATGCTTGTGTTATTTTTAAAATATATCTACACTTGAAATATATATACTATGTAGTTTTAGCTTTTATTCCATATGAAACTAATAAACTGTTCACACTGGCTCCAGGAAATGTTTTTTCATTTGACCAGCTTCTATCCCTGTTACTTCAGTACAAATGACTCTATTATCCCTTCTAGATAAATGTTCTTCAGCTCAAGACTTCCGTATATTAGAAGAAACACCTGTATACTGAGCTTTTTGTTGGCCTGATAGAATGTAAACAATGTTTCCTTGGAGATAATTGATGTCAAAAAATGATTTTAAGCCCAAAATATTAGCTCAATTGTCTTGTATTGTTATTTAGTTGCAATATCGTTTCGGCATAGTTTACCATGCCATGGATTTAGATGCTTGTGGATGTTAACTGCACATTTGAAACAACACCAATATGGAAAAGATGGGTAACCATGAAATCCTCTAAAAACGGGTAATCAGGTGTTTAGAAAGTTTCATTACACAGTAATAATGCGTTAAAGAAAAGGTTAAGAAGCTATCAGATAATTGGCGCAACAAACTAAAAGGGTCTATGATGAAGCAACACTAATATGCAGTGCTACTAAGGAAGCATATGCACCACCTTTGCTAAGCAAAGTCTCGTGCTTTCCTTTCTCTTCAATGACTCCATTTTTAACCACTGCAATTAAATCTGCATCCTTTACGGTGGATAACCTGTGAGCCACCACAATAGTGGTTCTGTCCATACTCACTCGATCAAGTGCATCTTGTACCACTCTTTCAGACCCTGCATCAAGTGCACTGGTAGCTTCATCTAGCAATAATATTTTTGGACTCTTCACTATGGCTCTTGCAATTGCCACGCGCTGCTTCTGTCCTCCAGAAAGTTGAACCCCTCTCTCCCCCACTAATGTATCATAACCCTGTATATGTATATATATAGATATGGTGTTTAGATTGTACAATATAAATTTTTATCGAATATTGTGTAGGTTACCTGCTGCAAACTGCTAATGAACATGTGTGCATTTGCCAGTTGTGCTGCAGCTATAATTTCAGCTTCTGTTGCATCTCCACCTTTTCCATATGCAATATTGGCTCGAATGGTGTCATTAAATAACATAGGCTCCTGGCTTACCAGACCCATCTGCTGCCTAAACCATTTAAGTTGTAGCTTTTGGATTTCTGTTCCATCCAGTGTAATCTGACCCGAAGCAGGTTCATAAAATCTTTGTAACAATGAGATCACTGTTGACTTTCCACTTCCACTTTCACCTACTAGAGCAACTGTCTGATTTCCATCAATAAAATCAAATTCTTAGATTTTTCATTAAGAAAGGCTGTCCAAAAGAATCATGTGTTCCTATGATGAGAATTAAGCATCAAACAAACAGATTCGTTGGCTTGTTACCTCTCCTGCTTGAATGGTCAAGGAAAGATCTTTGAGCACAAGAACATTTGGTCTGGTTGGATACTTGAAACTGACATGGTGGTACTCAATCTTCCCCGTCACTTCTTCCAATTTAATTCCGGACTCATCACTGGGATCTATTCTTGATTTCTGATCAAGAATAGCAAATACAGAAGCAACAGAACTTTTTGCTTTACTAGTAGCTGGGGTCATGAAGCTTGATTGTGACAATGCTACAGATGCCATTACGAGAGCATAAAATACCTGAAAATAAGGAAGGCTTTTGTTCAATGCTAGCAGAAGGTGATGAGCTTAGCTCTTAAATTGTCTACTTTGTTTATTTAAAAAAGAATATTTTGTAATTTATTTGAGCTTTTACTTTGTCAGCAGCAACAATTGAGATAAGTGAAAAGCGTCAAAACTCGATAGCGTAAGACAAAGGAGCATAGGACAAACTTACACGGAAAACATCTGAGAATGATGCTTTCCCATTCTCAACTAGTCTTGCCCCAGCATAAAAACTGCATGCGTTAACTGAAAACACAAAGAATAGTGATAAACCGAAACCTGTTCCATTGACTAAACCTTGCCTTATACATGTCTGGATCGGTTCTACACATTTCTTCTGGTATAACAACATCACCTTCTCTTCAGCACAAAAAGCAGCAACTGTTCTGATATTCCCTACTGCATCATTCGCTACTTGACTTGCTTCCTCAAATAGTTTCTAAGGAACATAGACATCACCAATAACATTGGTCAAACAAAGATTAATTAATAGTTATTATTAAATATGACAACAATAAAAAAGTACAAATTAAATGTAGGCAAATATAAACGGACAAGCTTTGATCACTAATGAAACCTAGTTGATTCGTCCTCGTGAAGTAGTTTGTGTATATGAAGAAAGAAGAATACAACTAAGATAAGTAATATCTTTACACTTAACCTTTCCATTGTATTTACCTTCGGATCTATCCCAGAGGAATATACATGCAATCAAATGGCTTGTGCAATGGTTATCTAATTACTTCCATCCATGTAATATTTTCATCGAAAGTTTACCATTACCCTTTTCACACTATGGCACTAGGTCTGAAATCTAAATATTTTCACAAGGTTTCGTGGTAAGTAATTACTAGTTTGATATCAGTAAGTCACAAACCTTTGCATTAGTTTGGAATCCTTGCATTGACCTCATTTGCACATATCCATTTAGTAATACTAGAGGAATTAAAACAACAATAATGAGAGAAAGCCGCCAGTTTGCCTCAAAGGCTATTACTAAGGCAGTAATTGTTGTGGCAATATCCTGAACCAGCAAGCCAAGAGCATCGCCAACCAATGTTCGAATAGAAACTACATCAGTTGACAGCCTTGCTCCAAGTGCTCCACTTGAATTTTCATCTTTATCAAACCAGCCTATTTCCATGTGAATTATTTTTTCAAAACACATTAGCCGGATCCTTTTTATCAACTTAGCACCAGCTACAGCAAAAAAGTAGGACCTTAATGGAACACATATGAAGGCAGCCACACTAAGGGAAACAAATATTAATGCCCAAAACCTTGAATCTTTACGAATTTCATCTGCAGCCTCAAAGAAAGTATTTATCATGTGAGAAAGAAGAAGCCCCATGGTGGGTAGTATTGCACCAGTTGCTGCTGCTGCTAGAGTCCCCATGAGTAACACTGGGATTTCAGGTTTATTAAGATTAGCAATGCGGATGAGTGAAACTTCTTGAGGCGTATGTAATGCTTCTGACGGAAGAACTTCAGGCCCTTCTTCTGATATTTGAAAAGCATCTAGTGTGGCATTACATGTTTTGAGTGGGTGCTGACTATTGTTTTCTCTTCCAGATGATCGATGGCTTAAGGACTGAGGCAAGGAAAATTGTTGGCTCAATTGTTGTTCAGAATCTATGAAGTTTTCTGGCCGGCCTGAGTCATTTGCATCCCGCTGTTCTGACTCCCTGTTAATTTCTTGCAATCTAATGAGCTGGCTATATGCTCCATTAGGATCTTTAGTGAGTTCATCATGTGTGCCTAAGCAGGTGAAAGATATATAAGAAGTGAGCAATATACATGTCAAGGAAACTTGAAGATACGTGTGGGGAGAGAATGACTCGAAAGCAGATTGTTATACTGACTTTCATTTCTGTGGCAAGAGAGTATATATTAGTATTCGTACCTTTTTCTTTTACTTTTCCTTGATGAATAACTGCAATCATATCAGCATTCCTGATTGTGCTTAAGCGATGGGCTATAATAACAGTTGTTCTGTTGATCATAATTCTGTCTAGTGTCTCTTGCACCACTCTCTCTGATTCTGCATCAAGAGCACTTGTAGCTTCATCAAGGAGCAGAATTCTTGGGTCCTTCAAAATTGCTCTTGCTATAGATATTCTTTGTTTTTGACCTCCAGAGAGCTGAGTTCCATGCTCGCCGACCATTGTGTCAAGTCCCTAAACAAACTCAGTTTTACAAAAATAATGAGATAAAACATGCCTCTTACTAAAACACAACAAACTTAAAAAGATTAAAGAGAACTATAAGCTCACATGGGGAAATTTATGTATGAACTTAGCTGCATTAGCAAGTTCAGCTGCAGCTCTGATTTCTTCATCTGTTGCCCCATCCTTACCATACGCAATATTCTCTTTAATGCTGCAAGTGAAGAGCGCTGGTTCCTGGCTGACAAGGCCAATTTTCTGTCTGATCCATTTTACTTGAAATTCTCTGAGGTTGATACCGTCAATGAGAACTTCACCAGCTTGTGGATCATAAAATCTCTCAATTAAACTAATAACAGTTGATTTCCCACTCCCACTTGGCCCTACCAAAGCTGCAGTAGTGCCACTTGATATTGAAATTGAAAATCCATTGAATATGTCTTCATCAGGTCTGGATGGATAACTAAAGCAGACATCCCTGAGTTCTATATCTCCAGAAATATCATCCACCTGTCGACTACCAGTGTCATAGGCATCAATGTCCGGCTGCCGCTCTATTGTTTCAAACATTTTAAATGCAGCGGCTTTTCCTGCAGAAAATGCAGTTAAGCTTGGAGATGTCTGCCCCAGACGCCTGCAAAATAAAATTAGCCCAGAAATGTATCATATTTACTTGCCTTCCAAGCTTGGAAATGAGGTTATGTCGTATATGCATTTACAATATAGATAGTTAAGCAGAAGCTAACTTACAAGGAACCAGACAATATTACCGACAATATACTAATTATTTGTCCTCCTGTGTAACCTTTCTCTAGTACCATTTTCCCTCCAAACCATATTGCCAAACCATAAGTGCAGATAGAAAATAATTGCATCAATCCCAGGCCAAAACCACTAACCACACCCTCTTGCACTCCAATTCTGTAAGCTTTAGTTACGTATTGATTGAATTGAGCTATAGCTTGTTTCTCACCTGTAAATGACGCAACCTGCGTAGGAGGAATGCATATATTTTATGTACTAGTCTCTTGCGACATGGATATAAAAACAATGGAAAAGTAGATTCCGAATGTTGGCGTACAGTTTGAATTGAACCAATTGTCTGCTCCACTACTCTCGCTGCTTCAGAATAAGCTGCTTGTCCTCGAGATGCCATCTTTGCAAAAGCAATGCTCATCATGGAACCAGAGAAGACAAGAAGAGGAAGAGAAGATAACAGGACGAGGGTCAGAAGCCAACCCCTGATGAAGGCTATGACTATGCCCACTAAAAACGTTGACAAATTCTGTATGAACTTTCCCAACTGAGGAAACACCCAACAAGAGAAAGAAAAAGTTAACTCTAAAATAGTTTGATGAAATTATATTGATTTGGGATTTTTGAAGAATGGTCCATTAATACCTTCTCTCCCATGGCTTCTTGAATAAGAAATGTGTCACCTGACATCCTTCCAATAACCTCTCCACTTGTGGTTTCCTTGTCAAAGAAGCTGATATCTTGCCTCAAAATTGCTTTGAGGTATAACCCTCTTATTCTTGCAGCTTGTCTCTCCCCACTGATCACCCAGCAAGACACCTCTGGAAGATTACACGGACATATGTAACTGAGTAACTCTTGTTATGTTTAAATTAAGCAAAATTATATTTCTAGTTATTCAAGAAGCATAATCAGCTGAGAATGTGGCAGGCTTACGCAAGAATGCCGCTAGAAAGGAACCTACACCAATGTATGCGAACTTCAGAGACAGCTGAGGATGAAATGAAGCTTGTAAGGTTATGACATGGAAATATTGTTCATGTCAAACTTAAATCATTCAATCAGATGCCCACTGTCTATGAACGTATACGGTCTATACAAAAAATGTGAGACAGATAAAAGTGGAATAGCGTGCATCACATTTTCATAAGGAATTACTATATGTTCCATATAACCACATACGAAGATCGAGGACAATTTCCGTATGACAAGTAGATAAGATTTTAATTCATGAGGAGTTAACAAACTGTTTCTGAAAATTAACCCATACCATGGACTAGTTATAGTTCCTCGTGACCATACTTTAGTTTCATTCGCCCATGCATGTGTTTTATGTTTTTTCAAGTCTCTGCAGTTTCTTTTTGCTTGTAAAGTTGGTTATACTTGTATTAAGTAAAAGTTGGTTGCATGCTAATGAAGCTTACTATTTTAACTTTGTCATTATTGCTTTTCGCTGCGTAAGGGGCTTTCATAACTTGTATACTTACACATATTTCTGCAACACTTCCAACGGATATTTCACAACATTGATTATTAATGAAGGGGAGTTAGGCATTACCTTGGAAACTTCCTGAACTACTTGTTTGTTATCAACATGTCCTCCAAACACATCAATCATATTTCCAGTAAGTATAGCCATTAAAGGAGTAGAGACTCCATTGGCAACAGCACTTATTGCCCCAACAAGCATCAGAAAATAATCCCAAGGATGTGCAAATGAGAAAAGCTTGTGAAAGGGAACAGTTTTATTGTTTTCATCCCGAGCCATATTTTTCTTGGAATCCTGCTGCCTGCCAACCATTTTTTGTTGGGTGTTTTCAGTACCTTGAACTGTTGGATGATCGCTCGTTGATCCTCTCATCTCAGTTGAAGTCGTATCTGCATGCAAGCAGCCTTCTGTCATCATTTTCCCAAGGAAAGCCTCTTGGTTCACAACTCACAAATTTCATAGCACCACAAATATTAGGAATAACTTCAGTACTTAAAATATACAAACAAAACAACAACTACAATGATGTCAACTACAAATACACGTACACGGCTTCACATATATACATATCCTCATCCACATTCCGACATCATCTCATCCACCCTCAACATCTCATCCACACTCAACGTCTCATCACACTCAACAGTAGGCAAAATTAAATAATTTGAACTATAAAGTAAGATAATGAGAACTCCCAAAATTTTGAAAGTATAGCTTGTCAAAATCCCAAAAAATTGCTGATAATTTGTTTGTTTAAATTTTTATTTAGAGGCGTTTTTGAAAAAAGAAATCAACATTACTGTTCATTGAAATTGATTCAATAATTAAAATATAAATATTTACTCCGTTTGAAAATATATGACCTTTAATATTAGACTATAAAATAGACATTAATTTTTATTATTTTTTAAGAAATTTATTATTTTTTTTATTAATATCTTTGTTATCTTAATATTATTTTTTTAATCATAATATAACTTAAGAAGACAGAGATATAAATGATAAATGTTAAATTTTATAAATATCATACTTTTGAAAGTACGTTAATCTTCTATATAAAATATGATATATTTTGAAATAGATGGAATAATTAATTATTTGACAAATGAAAGAAACAAACTGAGCTTACTAAGTTAATTAAGTAAAAAAACTTTAATAATGCATATAAAATATACCTTTTATAAACTATTTAATATAACGAATTCATTATTATATTGATAAACAACCAACATCAATACCAAATAATATATATTAACATAAAATTTGGAACAACAAAAAAGAATGAGCAGAATTCCATTAGGGGTAAAATCTTAAAATAATGAGACTCCAACAAATAGCTACATAACATTTACAGTTGTATTTATTATATATGATAATGATAAGACATAATAGAAGCAGACAAAGTAGAAAAAGAAAGATAAGTGCAGGAGACAGGATGGTAGAAAATGCAAAACATGAGAAGAAAATAGAATAGAATCGTTGATAGAAAGAAGAGGAGTGAATAATGATACCATACCAGCGTAGCTTTTCTGCTCAAAATTTTGTTCTTCCCATCCACCTTATGCAACTACTCTTTATAGCAAAGTTTTGAGGGTGAAAGATAAAAATGTGTGTGGGCCATTCTGAAATACCTAGAAAATAGGTGCCGTGCATGGATGCAAAGTGTGGATGAAGGAAGTGAAAAGGACACTGAGTGAGTGTGTGCGTGGTGCATTATGACATATATTCCCCAAGCTGTGCAGAAGACCTAAAATATTTACCCTTTTTTTTTTAACATTTTTAAATTATTATATTTTTATTCTATTCCTATTTTAGATGCTAATTTAATTTTCCTTTATATTTTTATCCCCTTTTATTTATTGGTTTTTATTATTTTATTAAAATATTTATTGTAATTCGAACAAAATTAGGTGTCACCTACCTAAATATTAATGAAATAATCACTACAAAAAATATTGAAATTACCAACAGATCAAATCGTCGGTAATAATAAAAATTCATCGGTAAAAAGATATTACTAAATTTCGACGGCCAAAAATCGTCGGAAATTAGGTTTACCGTCCGATTTAAATAGTCCATCGGTAACTCACCGACGAATAAATCCGTCGATAAATATTTTACTGAAATTACCGATGGACGAGAATCTAGTCGGTAATATATTTATTATTTATTGCATTTTTTACTTATTTTATTGCCTATTTTTTTAAAGATCCCTCTTCCCTTTATATTTTTATTATTTATTATTATTTATTTTCCCCCGTTATATTTTTATAGCTTTGAATTATTATCAGATTAAGAGAATTGTCATTGGCACGATCAGTAGTACCATCAGGTCCAACTTTGATAGC